AGAAGAAGAAGAAGAAGAAGAAAAGAAGAAGAAGAAGAAGAAGAAGAAGAAGAAGAGAAGAAGAAGAAGAAGAAGAAGAAGAAGAAGAAGAAGAAGAAGAAGAGGAGGAGGGGGGGGGGGGAGGGAAGGGAAGGGAAGGAAAGCACCAAAAAGAGTTATGCTTTCATTCACATTTATTTTACACATTGCAGATTTTTAGGATCTTTCCAGCTGTTAATTACTGTACCTCTACAAACTTACTTACAACTTTAAAAATAAAACTTATTTAACTTAAGAAAAACAGGCAAAATACATAAACCAACAATTCAAATGATTACAACAACATGCCTCATGGAGGAGGGTCCTACAATGTGTGTGTTTTTGGAGATAACAGTGAGGCCCAGAGGAGAGGGACCTCCTGAAATGCATGCTGGACATAATGAGACATGACTGCTGCTGTCCCAGAGGTCTGTCCTCTCAACGTCCTCTCTGTTTTCAGACCTAAATCAGAGTTAATATCCGTCTCTGATTCTTACCTTGCAGACTCGAGCCACTGATTGTTATGTTTTTATTTATTATTTTTACATTTGTATATTTAATATGATTTTTAAATGTATTTATTCTTTCATATTTATTCTTTGGATATTTATTTCTTATTTAATTATTTGAATTTAACATTTTCTTTTCGAATTATATTTAAATATTTATTTTCTATGTATTGGATTTTTTAGTAAGGTAAACATCACAACATGCTGTTTTGTGGCGCCTATATCATGGATGTATAATAAGAACTGGATAACAGCGTGGGAGGCGGGTCTCGTTAATTCCTTCGAGAGCTGCTCATTGGGCACATGAAGGCAAAATGGCCAACTTTTGAGAGAGCGAAACGTCACAGATTACCCGTCATGCCTGGCTGCCAGAGCAGAAGAACCCGTATGTGCACTCACAGAGCATGCGCCCCTTAAGCCCCGCCCCCCAAGCTCCCACTCTCTCGGCTCACTAGAATGAATGGAGAGAAAAATAATCTAGATTCGGCTTTTAGTGCATTTATACACTTTAAGGACCTAATAGATTCTATTAAGGGCTATAAGATTGTTCATACTGGGTAGTTTATTTACAGACGTGTCTTTCCCAATGTTAGTCAATGGGAAAAAGTCTTATCACGACTGATACGGAAATTGTAGTACTGCCGTTTGGACACAAAATGTGTTCCTCTGAGTCCGGCGCACTTCCTGGGGGCTTGGGCTATATTCCCATTGCTACCAAACCTCCACATACACCAGGTGCCCTAAATACCATTAACCACACCCATGTGATGATCACCGGTAACAACCAATTACAAGTGTGTGTGGTGTTAACAAATAATGAAGATTATATAACTATGAACACAGGCTACCACAGCGTTTTGATTACTGATGTAACTAAAGAAAAACAAGCAGAGTAACTAAAACAAAAGATCAACAACAGTGAATATAACTGGCTGTTACCTTGCAGACTCTGGCCACGCGGCTGTACGTCCTCTTCTCCCACTGACCCGCCTCCACCGCTCGCTCTCTGAAGAAGAAGTAAACTTTATCATCGTCCGGGCTGTGAGTGTCGGGGATCGAGAAAGAGCCCACGAACTCCGGCTCTGAGAGGAAGGAGAAAGGTTCACATGAAGACACCTCACTTCCATCAGAGACTAGAGAGACTAGAGAGACTAGAGAGACTAGGGACACCTCACTTCCATCAGAGACTAGAGAGACTAGGGACACCTCACTTCCATCAGAGACTAGAGAGACTAGAGAGACTAGGGACACCTCACTTCCATCAGAGACTAGAGAGACTAGAGAGACTAGGGACACCTCACTTCCATCAGAGACTAGGGACTCTACTAGCGACTAGAAAGACTAGAGACAACCTCACTTCCATCAGAGACTAGAGAGACTAGAAAGACTAAGACACCTCACTTCCATCAGAGACTAGAGAGACTAGAAGACTAGAGACACCACGCACTTCCATCAGAGGGACTAGAGAGACTAGAAAGACTAGAGACACCTCACTTCCATCAGAGACTAGAGAGACTAGAGAGACTAGGGAGACTAGAGAGACTATAGACCCTCACTTCCATCAGAGACTAGAGAGACTAGAGACACACCGCACTTCCATCAGAGACTAGAGAGACTAGAATACTAGAGACACCTTACTTCCATCAGAGACTAGAGAGACTAGAGAGACTAGAGACACTCCTTCCATCAGAGACTAGAGAGACTAGAAAGACTAGAGACCTCACTTCCATCAGAGACTAGAGAGACTAGAAAGACTAGAGACATCTCACTTCCATCAGAGACTAGAAAGACTAGAGACACCTCACTTCCATCAGAGAGAGACTAGAGAGACTAGGGAGACTAGAGAGACTAGAGACACCTCACTTCCATCAGAGACTAGAGAGACTAGAAATACTAGAGACACCTCACTTCCATCAGAGACTAGAGAGACTAGAAAGACTAGAGAGACTAGAGACACCTCACTTCCATCAGAGAGACTAGAAACTAGAGAACCCACTTCCATCAGAGACTAGGGAGACACCTCACTTCCATCAGAGACTAGGAGACTAGAGAGACTAGAGACACCTCACTTCCATCAGAGACTAGAGAGACTAGAGAGACTAGAGAGACTAGGGACACCTCACTTCCATCAGAGACTAGAGAGACTAGGGACACCTCACTTCCATCAGAGACTAGAGAGACTAGAGAGACTAGGACACCTCACTTCCATCAGAGACTAGAGAGACTAGAGAGACTAGGGACACCTCACTTCCATCAGAGACTAGGGATACTAGAGAGACTAGAAAGACTAGAGACACCTCACTTCCATCAGAGACTAGAGAGACTAGAAAGACTAGAGACACCTCACTTCCATCAGAGACTAGAGAGACTAGAAAGACTAGAGACACCGCACTTCCATCAGAGACTAGAGAGACTAGAAAGACTAGAGACACCTCACTTCCATCAGAGACTAGAGAGACTAGAGAGACTAGGGAGACTAGAGAGACTAGAGACACCTCACTTCCATCAGAGACTAGAGAGACTAGAGACACCTCACTTCCATCAGAGACTAGAGAGACTAGAAATACTAGAGACACCTTACTTCCATCAGAGACTAGAGAGACTAGAGAGACTAGAGACACCTCACTTCCATCAGAGACTAGAGAGACTAGAAAGACTAGAGAGACCTCACTTCCATCAGAGACTAGAGAGACTAGAAAGACTAGAGACATCTCACTTCCATCAGAGACTAGAAAGACTAGAGACACCTCACTTCCATCAGAGAGAGACTAGAGAGACTAGAGAGACTAGGGAGACTAGAGAGACTAGAGACACCTCACTTCCATCAGAGACTAGAGAGACTAGAAATACTAGAGACACCTCACTTCCATCAGAGACTAGAGAGACTAGAAAGACTAGAGAGACTAGAGACACCTCACTTCCATCAGAGAGAGACTAGAAAGACTAGAGACACCTCACTTCCATCAGAGACTAGGGAGACACCTCACTTCCATCAGAGACTAGGGAGACTAGAGAGACTAGAGACACCTCACTTCCATCAGAGAGAGACTAGAAAGACTAGAGACACCTCACTTCCATCAGAGACTAGAGAGACTAGAGAGACTAGAGACACCTCACTTCCATCAGAGAGAGACTAGAAAGACTAGAGACACCTCACTTCCATCAGAGACTAGGGAGACACCTCACTTCCATCAGAGAGAGACTAGAAAGACTAGAGACACCTCACTTCCATCAGAGACTAGAGAGACTAGGGAGACACCTCACTTCCATCAGAGACTAGGGAGACTAGAGAGACTAGAAAGACTAGAGACACCATCACTTCCATCAGAGACTAGAGAGACTAGAAAGACTAGAGACACATCACTTCCATCAGAGACTAGAGAGACTAGAAAGACTAGAGACACCTCACTTCCATCAGAGACTAGAGAGACTAGGGAGACTAGGGACACCTCACTTCCATCAGAGACTAGAGAGACTAGAGAGACTAGAGAGACTAGAAAGACTAGGGACACCTCACTTCCATCAGAGACTAGGGAGACTAGAGAGACTAGAGACACCTCACTTCCATCAGAGACTAGGGAGACTAGAGAGACTAGAGACACCTCACTTCCATCAGAGACTAGAGAGACTAGAGAGACTAGGGACACCTCACTTCCATCAGAGACTAGGGACACCTCACTTCCTTCAGAGACTAGAGATACTCTCTCTCTCTAGAGACTAGAGATACTCTCTCTCTCTAGAGACTAGAGATACTCTCTCTCACTAGAGACTAGAGATACTCTCTCTCTCTAGAGACTAGAGATACTCTCTCTCTCTAGAGACTAGAGATACTCTCTCTCTCTAGAGACTAGAGATACTCACTCTCTAGAGACTAGAGAGACTCACTCTCTCTCTAGAGACTAGAGATACTCTCTCTCTCTCTAGAGACTAGAGAGACTCACTCTCTCTCTAGAGACTAGAGATACTCACTCTCTCTAGAGACTAGAGATACTCACTCTCTCTCTAGAGACTAGAGATACTCTCTCTCTCTAGAGACTAGAGAGACTCACTCTCTCTCTAGAGACTAGAGATACTCACTCTCTCTAGAGACTAGAGATACTCACTCTCTCTAGAGACTAGAGATACTCACTCTCTCTAGAGACTAGAGATACTCACTCTCTCTCTCTCTAGAGACTAGAGATACTCTCTCTCTCTAGAGACTAGAGATACTCACTCTCTCTAGAGACTAGAGATACTCTCTCTCTCTAGAGACTAGAGATACTCACTCTCTCTCTCTCTAGAGACTAGAGATACTCTCTCTCTCTAGAGACTAGAGATACTCTCTCTCTCTAGAGACCAGAGATACTCTCTCTCTCTAGAGATTAGAGATACTCACTCTCTCTAGAGACTAGAGATACTCACTCTCTCTCTCTCTAGAGATTAGAGATACTCACTCTCTCTAGAGAAGAGACTAGAGCTACTCTCTCTCTAGAGACTAGAGATACTCACTCTCTCTCTCTCTAGAGACTAGAGATACTCTCTCTCTCTAGAGACTAGAGATACTCACTCTCTCTCTAGAGACTAGAGAGACTCACTCTCTCTCTAGAGACTAGAGATACTCACTCTCTCTCTAGAGACTAGAGAGACTCACTCTCTCTCTAGAGACTAGAGATACTCTCTCTCTCTCTAGAGACTAGAGAGACTCACTCTTCTCTAGAGACTAGAGATACTCACTCTCTAGAGACTAGAGATACTCACTCTCTCTCTAGAGACTAGAGATACTCTCTCTCTCTAGAGACTAGAGAGACTCACTCCTCTCTATAGCTAGAGATCTCACTCTCTCTAGAGACTAGAGATACTCACTCTCTCTAGAGACTAGAGATCTCTCTCTCTCTAGAGACTAGATATACTCTCTCTCTCTAGAGACTAGAGATACTCACTCTCTCTCTCTCTAGGACTAGAGATACTCTCTCTCTCTAGAGACTAGAGATACTCACTCTCTCTAGAGACTAGAGATACTCTCTCTCTCTATAGACTAGAGATACTCTCTCTCTCTAGAGACTAGAGATACTCACTCACTCTCTCTCTAGAGACTAGAGATACTCACTCACTCTCTCTCTAGAGACTAGAGATACTCACTCTCTCTCTCTCTAGAGACTAGAGATACTCACTCTCTCTCTCTCTAGAGACTAGAGATACTCACTCTCTCTAGAGACTAGAGATACTCTCTCTCTCTAGAGACTAGAGATACTCACTCTCTCTCTCTCTAGAGACTAGAGATACTCTCTCTCTCTCTAGAGACCAGAGATACTCTCTCTCTCTAGAGACTAGAGATACTCACTCTCTCTCTCTCTAGAGACTAGAGATACTCTCTCTCTCTAGAGATTAGAGATACTCACTCTCTCTAGAGACTAGAGATACTCTCTCTCTCTAGAGACTAGAGATACTCACTCTCTCTCTCTCTAGAGACTAGAGATACTCTCTCTCTCTAGAGACTAGAGATACTCACTCTCTCTCTAGAGACTAGAGAGACTCACTCTCTCTCTAGAGACTAGAGATACTCACTCTCTCTAGAGACTAGAGATACTCACTCTCTCTAGAGACTAGAGATACTCTCTCTCTCTAGACATTACATTACATTACATTGCATTTAGCTGACGCTTTTGTCCAAAGCGACTTACAATAAGTACATTCGACCAGGAAGACACAACCTTGAAGAAAACAGCATCATAAAGTACATCAGGTTTCATAGAGCCAAACATTTCAAGTGCTACTCAACTGGCTTTAGGTATCCAGTCCTTTATTAGTATAAAGTGCTTCGTTAATCGTTCTAACGCTCGAAGTGGAGTCGAAAGAGATGAGTTTTCAGTTTTGCGCCGGAAGATGTGCAAGGCTATCTGCCGTCCTGATGTCAATGGGGAGCTCATTCCACCATCTTGAGAGCCAGGATAGCAAACCCACGTGTTTTCGCCGATGGGAACTTGGGTCCCCCTCGCAGCGATGGGCGCAACGAGTCGTTTGGCTGATGCAGAGCGTAGTGCACGCGCTGGGGTGTACGGTTTAAACCATGTCCTGGATGTAGGAAGGGCCAGATCCATTCGCAGCACGGTAAGCAAGTACCAGTGTCTTGAAGTGGATTCTAGCAGTTACCGGAAGCCAGTGAAGGGAGCGGAGGAGCGGAGTGGTGTGGGAGAATTTAGGAAGGTTGACTAGAGACTAGAGATACTCTCTCTCTCTAGAGACTAGATATACTCTCTCTCTCTAGAGACTAGAGATACTCACTCTCTCTCTCTCTAGAGACTAGAGATACTCTCTCTCTCTAGAGACTAGAGATACTCTCTCTCTCTCTAGAGACTAGAGATACTCACTCTCTCTAGAGACTAGAGATACTCTCTCTCTCTAGAGACTAGAGATACTCACTCACTCTCTCTCTAGAGACTAGAGATACTCACTCTCTCTCTCTCTAGAGACTAGAGATACTCTCTCTCTCTCTAGAGACTAGAGAGACTCACTCTCTCTCTAGAGACTAGAGATACTCACTCTCTCTAGAGACTAGAGATACTCACTCTCTCTAGAGATTAGAGATACTCTCTCTTCTAGAGACTAGAGATACTCACTCTCTCTCTCTCTAGAGACTAGAGATACTCACTCTCTCTCTCTCTAGAGACTAGAGATACTCTCTCTCTCTAGAGACTAGAGATACTCACTCTCTCTAGAGACTAGAGATACTCTCTCTCTCTAGAGACTAGAGATACTCACTCTCTCTCTCTAGAGACTAGAGATACTCTCTCTCTCTAGAGACTAGAGATACTCTCTCTCTCTAGAGACCAGAGATACTCTCTCTCTCTAGAGACTAGAGATACTCACTCTCACTCTCTCTAGAGACTAGAGATACTCTCTCTCTCTAGAGACTAGAGATACTCACTCTCTCTAGAGACTAGAGATACTCTCTCTCTCTAGAGACTAGAGATACTCACTCTCTCTCTCTCTAGAGACTAGAGATACTCTCTCTCTCTAGAGACTAGAGATACTCACTCTCTCATCAGAGACACAATGGGGGCCTGACTGAAGAAGGTTGGGAACCACTGGATTAGCTGATATAAATAACGTGTATAAGAGAAGTGTTCCTCACCGTTGAGCCAGTTGTGATCAAAGGCCTGTGAGCTGATGTAGTTCTGAGTGTTTTCCTGCACTGAGGAACGGACAAACGCAGCGTTCGCTCCCATAAAATCCACCGAAGTTCCTGCATAGAGCTCACCGTCTGGGGAGGGGGGGAGAGCAGGAGAAATAATGAGGAGATAAAGAAATAAAACACAGACTAAAAGAGACAAATGGTATCCCTTGAGAAAACATAATCTGCATTTTGAAACAGAGCTTTAGTTAGATTCCTTTACTGACCAATGTAGGCCCTGAGAGGCAAGAGAGCAAACCAACATTCAGATGATGTTCTGAGTGTGAGTTGGACAGTGTAATCTAACATGTTTAGGACTTGGAACTAAGTGGAACTAAGTGGAACAAATGTTTGTTTAGTATTCACCGGAATAATCCTCCATTTGTTCAATTTAGCTACGGACACCGGTGTAAATAGCATTGTTAGCTACAGACACCGGGTGTAAATTGCATTGTTAGCTACTGACACCCGGGTGTAAATAGCATTGTTAGCTACGGACACCGGGTGTAAATAGCACTGTTAGCTACGGACACCGGGTGTAAATTGAAATAGCACTGTTAGCTACGGACACCGGGTGTAAATAGCATTGTAAACTACGGACATCGGGTGTAAATAGCATTGTTAGCGCCGGACACCCGGGTGTAAATAGCATTGTTAGCTACGGACACCGGGTGTAAATAGCATTGTAAACTACGGACACCGGGTGTAAATAGCATTGTTAGCTACGGACACCCGGGTGTAAATAGCATTGTTAGGTCTACCTACAGACACCTGGGTGTAAAAAGCATTGTTAGCTACGGACACCCGGGTGTAAATAGCATTGTTAGCTACGGACACCCGGGTGTAAATAGCATTGTTAGCAAATGTTTGTTTAGTATTCACCAGAATAATCTCATTTGTTCAACTGTGAAAAATGAAAAGGCTGAAATGCATTATAGCTACTGATAATCGCGCTGATTCATGCGATAATGTTACAAAACGTTGTTACGTGCCGTGTTTTGTTAGTGTGTGACGTGTCTCTCTCTTTAATCACTTTATTTTATATGAAAGTTCTTCTTAGTTTGTCTTAAGGTTATTTTGTAAATTGACTAGTAAGCCCTCTTTATTTTGACACTCAAATCCAGACACTTTTTACTCTGACTATGGACTAACGCACATTCTCAAGATATTGAAGTGACTGTTATTTTGTATATATTGATTGTTGTGTTTTTATTTATGGCTTACTGTGTGCATATGTATAAATGTGTCTTTGATTGTGTATATATACATATTTACAAACATATTTGTATATATTTGTATTTTTGTATTCTGGATGGTGGGAAACGGTATTTCGATCTCTGGCTGTACACACAAACTGAAAGATTGACAATAAAGTTGACTTTGACTTTGATTAACAGAACAATTATCTTCTTATTGTTATTTCACAATTGTTACGGTCTCCGCCTTCTATCTGCTCAGTAATCTGTCTGGGAGTGTTTTCAGCGGTGTGTGGGTGACATGTAAATGAGCTGTGCGGTAGCCCTGACGTCATTGGCTGCCCATCCTCTGGTCCGCCCCTGAAGATTGTGATTGGAGCACGCCGGGCCCGACGCACTCCAATCGCAGCGCACAGCCGGCGCACACCGGCTGGAGATGACTACAAAGCCTGGGGACAACGATCACTCTGGAGGCTCTGTGATGTGGGACAGACGCCTCTAGCCTCTTGCTGTACTTACTCGTTTGTTTGATGATTTAGTGACTTCTCTGTGTTAAAGCTATAGGCTATTGTTTAGCAGCGTGTTGAACTAGTGTTTCTGTGTTTAGTTAGGTACTGTAGTATGATAGTGTAAATAGGATCCAAGGTAGCTTAGCGGTTAGCGCCTGTCGATTAGCAGCAGCTGTGTTTTTGTACAGCCCTTTTCAGTTAAATGTACCACGTTTAAGGTGAGGTTTTTGTTTCCCTTTTGTGTACTAATTATTACTCTGTATAATCTGTAAAACTCCCTTTTGGAGTCCTCTTTTAGTTGATTGTTAAACAATCAGTATTTGGCACTTTGTTTGTGCCAGGCTGTATGCCTTTATTATTTTGTAACCACTATTATATATAAATAAATACCTATAATTATACCAATTCTACACTGGTGTATGTTGTTTCTCTCTACCCCTAGAGAGAGACGTAACAACAATGTTCTTTTCCTGGTAATGCTCCAGAGTCAAACTGTACATATTTATAAGCTAAGTTATGAAAATGCTTGCCTCTGTTAGCAAGGAACAACACATACAAACATGTATTATGTCATTCTGCAATAAAAAACATAATTTGCTGTAAAAGTTTGGCTCCTCTTGCTGCCAACACACAGCTATCAGATGTAGAGGAACTCAGTTTAACGACTCAAATGGTTTATGTGTGAAATGGATCCGAACTCTGTTGATGTGTTTTATGTCCGTGAGACAGCAAAATGTGAAATAAGTGGAATAACTGAAGCGGACCACCGGCAAACAGACAGAGGAGAGACTGTGTGTGTGTGTGTGTGTGTGTGTGTGTGTGTGTGTGTGTGTGTGTGTGTGTGTGTGTGTGTGTGTGTGTGTGTGTGTGTGTGTGTGTGTGTGTGTGTGTGTGTGTGTGTGTGTGTGTGTGTGTGTGTGTGTGTGTGTGTGTGTGTGTGTGTGTGTGTGTGTGTGTGTGTGTGTGTGTGTGTGTGTGTGTGTGTGTGTGTGTGTACCCGTCAGGCGAGCAGTAAACGGCTCTCTGGGACTGAAGGGACATTTTCCTCTGCCCGACTCCATCGTATCAGACAACTCGAACAACGGCTCCTAAAGAGAGAGGGGGAGAGATAGAGAGGGAGAGAGAGAGAGAGGGGGACAGAGAGAGAGAGAGGGAGAGAGAGAGAGGGGACAGAGAGAGATAGAGAGAGAGAGGGAGAGAGAGAGAGAGAGGGGACAGAGAGACCACACACACATTTAGAATGACAGATATTACGAAGGGCAGAGAGGAAACTCCACTTGAACTTGAAAATTCCCTGATGGATTTCTTCCTGTATGTCAGAGCACAATGAGGCTCTTCAGAGAGGGACTCCGAGACTCTAAGGACTGAGAACAGTCTCTATGTGTATCATGTGTAAAACGTCCTAATAAACATATGCGAACAACAGCATGGCCAGGTGTATTGGTATGATAATCTTTGCACTCTATAATGCAAATAAGTGCCATAATGAACGATTTCACCATTCACTCTTTCTGCATCAGCACAACTATATACATACACTATCAAACGTTGTGGTACTCAACATGTCAGGGTTCACTACAGGACTCTATGAGCTGTACAACAGACTTTAAAGGTCTCCCATTATGCAACATGCACTTTTTGATGTCTTTTATACATAATATGCTCAAAGAAACTCTCTCCTGTCTGAACAACAGATATCTTCTAATATGCAATACCAGGACACACCAATGGTTTCTCAGCGGTTTGAGACTGGGCGTGTCTTTATAACATGTGTATATAAATGTGTGTATACCTCTGTGTCGTGTCCCACATGGAGGTAGGAGCACTGAGGATGGAAGGCTCCGGTCCCACAGGCGTAAACATGAGTTTTATTGAAGGGCTGCAGCAGCCGCACGAAGTTAGCACAGTCCGTCTGCAAACAACAACACGTCAATATCAACAGAAATACACTGATATATATTACTGTACAGACAATAAAGCAGGGGTGTCAAACTCAAGGCCCACGACCTCATTTAACGTGGCCCTGCAAGAGCTTACAAAGAATATAATATACAATACAATTGGAGTAATTGTTGAATATTTGTTTGCAATTATTTGCCCCAGACTTCTGCTTTCAGACGGAGTCATTACCAGAACTGATAATAATCCAATGCAGAGCCAATAATGTAATATAATACATAATTTTATATATATAATGTATTTATATATGTATATTTATATAGTCTTAAGGTTACAACCGGCCCTTTGAGTGTAACTTTAATATGGCCTGCGAGGAAATAGAGTTTGACACCACTGTCTTAAAGGGACAGTCGCACATTTTAGGATGTAATGAGAAATGAACCAACGACGGTTGATGAAAACTTTAAAACGTTTTTAGTAAAAGTATAATAAGATATGTTTATTGTCGACTGTTCTTTACTTTTCTAAATCGAATTGAAGGACTCTTACCTCTGGATTCTTCCCCGCCATGACGCAGTGTATCTGGTGTTCTCTAGCAGCCGGCCAGTGGATCTGACGGAGGAAATACATCACATTACATCAAATATAGTTATTTAGCTTACACTTTTATGCAAAAATAACTAACAATAAGTGCAATAAACAGCTTAAAACAAGCCACACCATTTTAAGCACTGGTGCATCAGTTTCAAATGAGCTAAAACCCTTTAAATACTTTTTTGGGTGTGTTTGAGGTTTAAATGCAATTGTAAGCGAACCAGGTGGAGTTTCAGTCTGCAAAGTATTCCTGATATCGATGGGCAAACGTTTCCTAAATTGGGATCAATAAAGTACTTCTTATCTTAAAGAAGAGGAAGAAGAAGAAGATGGACCTTTGCCAGGATTAGAGATACAATTATACTTCACATCCATCTACAGTTTCTTTACTGCTCAGTATTTACAAAACTATATAGAATAGAAGTACTCATTATAACTACTTCCTTGATAATCTGTACTAGATAACAAGACACGTACTGATATAATAATACACATTTTAAAAACAAGAATCATCTATACCAAAAATGGGATAAGAAAGGAGAACTTCATACTAAATGGCACCCTTTACAAAAGTTGAATATTCCTCCCTGATTGAGCTTTAAACGTCTCTCATGCACCAGCTTCTCCGCAGTCAGACTCGTTTGTAAACTTTAACTTGTTGTGATTGGTTGATGAGATGCTGTTCCACTTCCTGTTCCTCACCGTGTGTGTGTTTAGCGTCAGGTTGTCGGCTCTCAGCAGGTAAACGTGGTCTTTCCCCCCCACCAGCAGCCAGCCCTGATCCTCGTCCAGCAGCAGAGCCTCGTACCCCCCGCTGACCCCCGCCTGCCACCACACTGAGCTGTTCATCAGGTCTGAAGGGAAAGAAAAAAAACAAAACTTGAATGTCCTCTTCCAACGTGAGAGTAACATGATAACACAGGTATCCCAACTGTAGCTGTGTTCATGACAGGATGTGTGATTAGCAGATGATTGCTCTGTGATTAACATGATGATTCAGCCTCTATGGAGAGAGACATCAAGCATGCTCATTTCTGACGTGGAGCTAATCTGAAGTAAACATTGAATACTGCTTTCTACTCCTCCATCTTGTGACTGTGTAACTCCCTCTCTTGATATCAGCATGTGAAGGACACTGTTCAGGAACTAGTTGATGCTCTGTATGTGATGACTACTTCCATTCTGGAGAGGATCACAGATACATGGATCCTGAGGTTGAAGCTCAAGCCGGGACCAGGGAGAGTTCTCTATTACCAAGTTGAGAAAATTAGCTTTCTTACACCCAGCAGCACCTTTAATCTGCACGAGGTTATAATCAGTAAATTCAAAAAATGTCACGTAAATGTGTTGGAGCGCTAGCCAATAGGAGCGCGGGTGTTCCATAGTGATGTCACTATGTTCAGGTCACACTAAAGGAGAGGGAACACCCCATGAACCACAATAGGGCCTCTTCAAAGTATTATTTATTACTGGATCAGTAATAGTAGTCCAACTGTAGAACAATATAAAACTAAACGCAATAAATACCTGAACCTTTGGTATTTAAAAAAAAAGTGGGGTATTACCACACACACACACACACACACACACACACACACACACACACACACACACACACACACACACACACACACACACACACACACACACACACAGCAGAAATAATGACCACATTTCTTCACAAACTTCAATATATCTGAGCTGGAGAGTCCTGATAATAAATAAAACCGTGGAGCCTGGAAATATATGACTAATGCCAAAAGCCTTTTGCAGTGATGAAGTTTTATGTTTTCATTGTGTTTCTATATATATACAATTGTAAAAACTCACTTTCTTTGCCAAATTTGAGCATAATATGTCTGGATTTATGGCTTTTATCCCGACCTCAAGTCCTCCTCATTCCTCTATTTCGGAGGTAAAATAACGTATTAATCACGCAGCTGTTTTGATGCTCAAATAATTGCTATATTTCAAGCAAAAATACCATCAAAGTTCTGGTTTAAACTTAAGAAATGTCATGATTTGCTGCTTTTCTTTGAGTTATGTGACCGTGACATCTTCATTTGTGATGAAAATGACCTCTGCATGCAGTTATAGTGCATGTTTAGCAACTCAAAACATCACCTCTGGATGTTTCTTTACATTATGTATAAATCCTGTCCTATAACTCCTGCAGTGAATGTGTGTCGTCTGTATAAACCACTGAACTCCTGCTGGAAATGTGAACTTGAGTATATAACTATAACCATTTTTTGAGCAAAAATACCATAAGAGCTCTGGTCCAAACTTACAAAAGTTCAATATTTGTTGCTGTGACCGTAACTGAATATGCATCTTAAAGGTGGGGTAGGTAAGTTTGAGAAACCGGCTCGAGATACACTTGTTGTTATATTCCATGGAATGCTCTGAACATCCCGATAGCAATGAATATCTGAAGTGCTTTGAAGCCGTGGCGCTGTAAAAAGCACGACCAATCATCTGAGCCGGCTAAAGTAACTGGATGGCCTACCTGCCTGTCAGCCTTCCATCGGGGCACAAACTTATCTCGTGCCCTCATTGGTCATGTGCGCGTTCGTGTGTGTTGGAGGAGGGGCTCTGTGAGGAAGTGGCAGATTTTCTCCGGCTGTGTATTTTCAAATTCTAGCGTTCTCGAGCTGGTTTCTTCAAAATTACCTACCCCACCTTTAATTTGTTCAGACGATGATCACTAGATGCAGTTATAGTGCATGTTCAGCTCTGGGTGTTTCTGTAATATAGAACAGTCTAGTATCTCACATGTTGTCCTGCAGTGAATGTGTGTCGTCTGGTATTAACCCATGATCTGTAAACGTGAGTTAAAGCGACTCATTGTGAGTTTTCCTGGCAGATAATCAGCTGAATGAGTTCAGGAAACGAAGCGAGGGGAACCTGCAGACCCCCCACAGAGAACACCCCCCCCCCCCCCCTCTATAGAGACACTTCTGTGCAAGTGGCCGTGTCTTTGAATGCACCACGGCACATTTGTTACACTTCACCACCATTTAAAAAGAGATAATCAAAACGGGGGGGGGGGGGGGGTTCTGCTCGCTCACCAGCCGCGGAGGAGAAGGAGAGAAGCAGAACAAGTCGTTAGAGGAAATAATAAACGAGGCGAGGAAGGAAAGTGACGAGGGGAATCTCTCTTATGCACTAAAACCATAAATTACACACTAAATGTTTATTTCCGGGGGGTTTCTGCATGACTCGATTCAATGCTTTTTCTTAATGTTTCCATTCAGACGCACCGTAATGTGATGTTGACTACAAGCCAACTCAGCTATCTGATTAAACAGATTAACATCAACGTTTTCATGGAACACACTCGACCCAAACACATTGAAGAACATCCTCTGGCAGCAAAGTTCAATTTAACACGTCAGAGGAGTGTGTTACCTTCATACAAAGATACATCCAGATTATGAACAACACACACCTTGGGTCTGTAGTTCATGCTGTAAATAAAATGATCTTCTGTATGTGACAATTAGAGCTCTGGAGAACATTAAACACACACACACACACACACACACACACACACACACACACACACATCTGATGACACACATGGAGTGATGCATTATGATCCAGACAGATGTTTCAAAGGTGCACACGCACGCACACAGAGAGAGAGAACAAAGAGCACTTCTTCCTCTGAAATCAGATCTAACAGAATCGGTCACCGTACGATTATGAGATCTTCACAGCTCATTTTTCAACGAGACAATCTACTCACACACGCACGCACACACGCAGAACAGAGTGTGTGTGTGTCACACAATCTGCTGGTGTGTGTGTGTGTGTGTGTGTGTGTGTGTGTGTGTGTGTGTGTGTGTGTGTGTGTGTGTGTGTGTGTGTGTGTGTGTGTGTGTGTGTGTCACACAATCTGCTGGTTGCCCATCGCTGCTCGGGCTAAACTCTGCTCAGTACCATCAGGTATTGTTGCAAAAGCTGGTTATAATACACCTTAAAACGTTACAACGTGATCACATGACTGTAACTGACAAATAATGGCATGCTGAGACCTGCTGTATGTCATCTGGTCAAAAGGAAATAACATAAATACATATATAAGGTAAGGATAAGCGGTACTTTATTGATCCCAAATTGGGAAATGTTTGCGCTGCAGCAGCATCAACAACAACAACACAACAAGGCATTGCACATAAGTACAAATGAAAGAGTAGAAATACACAATACTAGAATTGAAATATCTCAAAATGGAATTAAAGCAGCTTTAAAAAGTAGAAAATATACAGTATATAAACAATGAAATGACGATTATGAATATATGTACTGTACTGTATTCATGCATGTGGATGTTAATGCAACACGGAACATTTAAATATGTGTTTGAGTTGCAGAAATCACAGAACAGCTTCCTCTCTTTACGCAGAAACCAGGAAAGATCCCAGGAGTATTTTGTGAGATGTTCAGCGAGAGTCCGTTCATCAGAGAGAGGAGCACGGCTTGACCCTGAGCTGCAGACAATAAAGAGGTTTGACTTTAAGGAGCTGTCGTACAGATCCCATCCATCATGAAGCGATGATGAAAGGAAACTCAGCGGGAGATATCTCAAAGAGCTCTCTGGGAAAAACTGAGGGGGAGAAACGCTTTACGTCACCGAATATTCTTCCATTACCTTCCCTGATCATTTGGTTCACCTCCCACATGTTTCAAAGTGAGCGAAACTTCGAGAAAATGCTCTTAAAGTTTGTGAAAACATCAACGGAGTGAAGCGTTCGGAGATAAATCACTAAAAGCTCTAACCTTCCTGTTGTCCTTGAGTTAAATTGAACTCGTTAAGAGGTCTAATTGCCTCAAAAATATCATAAATGGTTTCGTACATTCTCATCACAAGAAAAATGAATGACCCTTTCTTTCATCGTGTTTGATTTATAGCATCTGGTGTCATTATGTGCGGCTACTAAAACAATTTATAATGCTTTCAAAACGGAATAAATGTGGACATTTACAGGTTTTAACTCAAAACTTAGGTTTCATTTTGTGTAAATTATGTGACGGCCGCAGAGCCTGTGGCCGGTTAGTGTGCATGTGTGTTGCAGGTCCTGTGATGGAGCTGAGGAGGCCAATCAGCATAACTGGGGACACCTGGCCGGAGCCCCAGGTTCTACTTAAGCCCAGCTGCCCGGAGTCACGGGGCCTTCGCCACTCTCTCCGATACCTCATTCACACCAGCGCAACTCCGGTTCAAGCTCCATGCTAGAGCTTTTCAGGTTCAGAACCGGTTCTTCGGTTTAGCTCCGGCTCTTTTCACACCGCCCAGAGTCCGACTGGTGCTGCGTCATTGCGTCATCGTTTGCGTCATGACGTAACCGTTTGCGTGCCTGCTTCATAAACCCAAACCGCCCGGAAACCCCTCACAGCTCACACCGACAACAAGAACAATGGCCGATTGTGCTCCAGCTTCCTCTGCACCTCTTCGGAAGACCAGATTCCCAGCAGGTAGCTGGTCTCTTCAGTGGACCACTGCTGCTTGTTACGTTTCTCCATCGTTGTGTACAAGCTGGATAAAACGCGGGCTTCTTGTTGTTGTTCAGGAGTTGATCCCGCCCCTGCCCCTGTCTCGACGTAAGCGCGACGTATGCGGTGCTTTTGCTCTGGCCGAACAATTCTTTGGTGCTTGAAACGAACCGGATTCCGGAGCTAAGAGGCTGCTCCGCTGCAGTGTGAAGAGGAACACCCGGTGCTTTTCAAGCTCCAGCTCCGAACTGGCCCCAAAACACCGTTGGTGTGAATGAGGTACGAGACTGATGTGGGAAACTCTCGCCGGGATTCCTGCCCCTCGCCCAGCCTCTCATTTTAAATCTGGAGCTTG